TAAAATAAGGATAATAATAACATAATTCTCAGTGTTGCTGTGAGGATGAAATGAAACAATATTTGTGAAATTCTTTTAAACCATAAAGTGCTATATAAATGTTGGTGTTGTTGCTAAAAGTTCTTAAAATCAACACAAAAGCAGTTTTGGTAGTGGGCTGTTGATAGGGCAAAAGGCAGTCTGCTTGTGGGTGTGTGTCTCTCTAAAGCCTGTTTCCAGAGAGTTGGGCCTACACTCCCACAGGGTTAGGGATAAAGCAGAATGAGGGAGAGGGATGCTATGGTCAAGGGAAGTTGGAGAATGACCTTTAGTACATTTGTGAGAGCCATTTATTGTCTCCTCTTCTTAATAATTTCTTTTCTCTTCTTTCTTTTTTTTTTTTGAGGCACTTGGGGTTAAGTGACTTGCCTGGAGTCACACAGCTAGTGTCAAGTGTCTGAGGCCAGATTTGAACTCAGGTCCTCCCAACTCCAGGGCTGGTGCTCTATCCACTGTGCCACCTAGCTGTCCCTTCTTAACCATTTCTAGACTAGGCAAGGGAGAGAGGTCACACCAAGCAGCATGGCCAGCAGAAGACCATGAGGTGAAATGATGTCAGTCTTTCAAGATAGCCTTCTCAGGTTGGAGCCATGAAACAGTCTCTCTTAGCCCACCTTAGTTATAGCTCTGGTTTTTATGGAAATTTCTATCAGGCAAATATGATTGGAAAATGTGTGGAAATGCTTCCTGAACCTAATGACCAGAACTCAGAACATCCTATGTTTCCCGAGCCAATCACACAGTCATTGAGAAATGTTTGCTGAATGGAAATGAATTTTCATCAGTGAATAAACAACATGCCAAATGCTGGAAGAAAAGCAATAATTCTCTTTGGTTGGGCAGACGTTATCGAGTTCAGGGGCAAACGTGACTCCAGCCTGGCTGGCACTGCTCTCCTCCTCTCCTCTCCTGCCTTCTTTGTGATTCTATCGGCCTCACTTTGCCAGCACCAAGTAATCTCTCTTGTTCGTCAGGTTTCTTATCTCCTTCTCCGGATGGAATAAGGCTTGGCAACATACTGCATGATTGTTTACTGTTTTTTCTTGTGGCTTTAATAAATGACTTTTTCTCCACAAAGTCCATTCTGAGTTTGTGGACAATATTACTGCGGGTGCGGGTGGTGGGAATCAGGGGATTTAAAGAGAGAAGAGACCTTGCAGACCATTTAAACACCATCTTGTTTTTTTTTTTTTTTTACAAATGTGGAAACTGAGACCCAAAGAGGAACAGAAGAGATCGCTTAGTAGCTAAATACCTGCTGGATTTGAACCCAGGCCACTTGATTCCAAACTCAGCATTCTTTCTATTGCCTCCATACGTGTCAGTTCACACATGGAGATTGTGAGCCGCTGTAGGAAGGATGCTGGATGATCTCAAAGCGATCTGGCCTCAAATCTTGCTGCTTCTACTCACCTTTTTAACCACGGGCAAGTCACTGAAGTCTTCTGAGGCCCTGCGGCCTCATCAAGAAAACAGAAATAATAGTTACCATTTATATGTCCTTTAAAGTTTGCAAAACTCTTTCTGTGCAAAAGCCTGTGTATGTGGGGGGATGTGGGGGTGCTTATTAATGCCATCATTTTACAGGTGAGGAAACTGAGGCATAGAAAAGTTAAATAACTGGAGGGGCAAGATTCAGTCCTAGCCCCTGCTGGTGACAAGTCCAGGGCTCTTGCCAGTAGACAACACTTAGAGCTATAACCACTTTATATAGAGCCCTCCTCAGCCTGTAAGAGGCCAGGCTTGCTGACACAAGCCTAGGAGCGGCTGTTCGCTACAGGACCCAAGTCACCTGGGCCAGTGCCTGCTGAGACAGACCCCCCAAACTTCTCCAGGGACAGATGAAAATAGGCTTCGAAATGCTCCCCTCCCTCCCCCAGCCTCCTCCACACCCGAATCCTCTAATCAGCCTGGTGCTGGGGAGATGTTTCGAAAACAAAAAACAGAAACTGAAAACTTGACTTCCTGTAGGCCCTGCAAAGGAAGCAGGAGGAAAAAAGCTGTGAATGTGTGATGAGCAGCTGGCTTTTTATTTTTAAACTCGTCTCACTGCTGCGTAGATGTTCTGGAAAAACAGGGAGGATTACAAAGGAATTCTGACCTACAAGGACTACATTTTTCAAGTAGGTGTTAATGAGGCTGACAGGGTCTTTTCAGAACCTGGGTTTCACTGTGAAATCTGTTTGTATGGTAGAGACAAAAGGAGAGAATCCTGCACATTGAAGACTGCAAAAGTGGGAAATGCGGTGGGGTATTGAAGTATCGGCCAGTCTCTGAATAAGGAGACAATGGAAAGCACGCTGGAAATGTAGTCAGAGGACCTGGGTTCAAATGTGACCTCTGGCACTCGTGACCTTGTGCAAGTCACTGAAGCTCTTGGCTTCAATGTCTTTCTCTGAAAAATGAGGGGGCTGGCCCAGACGACCTCGGGGTCCCACTCAGTTCTAGGTCTATGAGCTGACGATCTGTAAATGAAGGGGGTGGATTAAGGATCTCTAAGCTCTCTTTTAGCCATAAACCCTGTGATCTTCTGACTGTAAGCCATTATCCATTCACCAGAACAAGATTCCATCTTAGTTGCCCAACAGATGTGAGGTCATGGAAAGGACTCATGGCCTGATGCCAGGAGATCTGAGTTCTGGCCTTGGCTCTGCCACGGATGATCTTTGGGACATTAGGGAACTCTCTGGGCCTCAGTTTCCCCATCTATTAAATGAATTTCAACTAGATGATATTCAAGTCAGATCCCCCAAGACCAGTAAACACGTTGGTTGATAACTGTACATGTCCACCATCTCCTTTTTATTTTTTTACAGGTTCTTAAATTCCCAGGTATTCCCGAGGTCCCTAGGGAGGGTTAGATGAAAATGAAAAATTAGGAACTCATTCCTAATACCTTTGGGCATGATGTGGTCAACTTATGTCCTTCTTTCCTGCTGATCCTTGAACCAGGACTAGAGAAATAGGTAACGAGGAGGACAACTCACATTATACATGCTTTACACACCTCATCTTATGTGATCATTATGATAATACCTATTTTCCAGATGAAAAAGCTGAGTCTCAGAGTGTGTGGATCAGGATGCTAATACTGACCTTCCCCCACCCACCCACCTACCCCCAGATTTCCCAAGTTCACATCACCACCCAAGACTTTTATGAACCAGGACACTATAGAAAAAACCTGGGGGCAGTTTGAGTGACAGCTAGGTGGTGAAGTGGATAAGGAGTTGGGCCTGGCGTCAGGAAGACCTGAGTTCAAACCCAGCCTCAACACTTACTAGCTGTGTGATCTTGGTCAAATCACTTAATCTCTGTTTGCTTCAGTTGTAAAGTAGAGAATATAATAACACCTACCTTGTTGTGAGGATCAGATGAGATAATATTTGTAAAGTGTTTAGCATGGTGCCTGTCTCATGGCAGGTATTTAATGAATGCTTGTTTTCTTTCTACCTTTGCCCCTGGATAAAATGACCTGAGACTTAGCTGTGGGCCCTTTGATTTCGGCTCTGTGGTTTCCTTGGAGCGCTGCTGGAGAGATCCCCACAGAACTCTGTCAGCAGATTGTGCCTTGGGGGCTTCTGCGGGTAGGTCACTGAGTATGTTTTTATTAAAGTTACTTCTTATCTGCACCCTTGGGATACAGTGGTCCATTGCAGAGGATGTCCAAACCCCTCCTGGACCAAAAGGTGAGGTGACTTCCTTAGGGTCCCACAGCAAGTATCTGAGACATAGGGCCCCGACCTTCCAGGGCTTCTCCTCTTTGTCCTCTGTCCTGCCAGAACACCTTACCTGCTCACTATCTTTCCCTGGGACCAGACCCCAGCACCAGCTGTGCTAATTGGAAAATCAACTCTTCTCCCCTGTCTCCCACAGGACCCTGCATACTTTAACCATGGCCATCTGGACACCATGTGATGTTTTTCTGGCTCTGTCTCTAAAGAGTCATTTAAATGGGCAAAACTTCATGCCAAGTCAGTACAATAAGGAAGATGACTGAAGTAGGTGAGAGCTGAGTGCTAGGCTTGGAGTCAGAAAAACCTGGGTTCAAACACTCCCTTTGACACTGGTGTCACTCACCCAGAGTCCAATCCCCAAATTTTACAGTTGAGGAAACTGAGGCCCAGAAGGGTTAAGTAGTGACCATGGTCAAACAGCTAATAAGTGGCAAAGCCAAGGTTGGAAACTAGAGCTCTGAGTTCAGATCCAGAGTTTTTCCCCCAATACCACAAACAGGAGATAATAGCAACGGTAGGTATTTCTATAATACTTGAAGGTTTACAATGTGCTTTACAGAGATTTTGTCATTTAAGCTACTTGGTACCCCTGTGGGGGGGTAGATATTATTAGGCATCCATTAAAACATCCACTACTATTTTGCAGGTGAGGAAACTGAGGTACAGAGTAGTCGAATGACTTGGCATAATCACACAGCCAGGAAGCCTCGGAAGTAGGATCTGAAGCCTGGTCTTGCTGACTCCAAGTCCAGTCCTTTTATCAGCTATACCAGACACTGGATGTTCAGCTAACCCGGGAAACATTGGCCCAGCCTTGGGCCCCATTTCAATTTCAGAGTAACAGCTACATGTGAATCTTTGGGATACTATTTTTGTGAAGGCATAAGCTCAGTGCTGAGAACAATTCCTTTTCTCCAATCTTGTGGATTCCTCTGAGTGACTCCGAGAGCACAAAAAAAGAGAGAAGACTGAAGAGGATGGATGCTCTGAGAGTTTGGTTTTGTGGTATGGTCTTTAGGGAGTTGGGAGGTTTGTTCCAAACCCAAGAAAGGGGTAACGATGAGCCAACTCATAAAAAATTAAAAAAGCTAGGTGGCACAGTGGATAGAGCACGGGCCTTGGATTTAGGAGGACCTGAGTTCAAATCCAACCTCAGACACATAACACTTACTAGCTGTGTGACCCTGGGCAAGTCACTTAACCCCATTGCCTAACCCCCCCCCCAAAAAAAGAAAGAAAAAAAAGAAAAAGAAAAAAAGAAAACTTGGAAGAAAGAGGCAGACTTTCCCCTGTCCTGATGGGACACTCTTGAAGATCCCTGGATTTGAACCACATCATCATGGAGGCCAAACGTGAAGGAAGCTCATTTGTTGTCCATGACAGTCTGAGAATCGGACCTCGTTCCCTTGGAAGTCAACGGTCCTCAGAGAGAAGGCATTTCAACACCTCTCTAGGGTTGGAATTTGGAAAGACTCCTAGAGAATCCTGACCAAGAGCAGCAGTCACACGTGTGTGGCCCCAGGGACAGAGGGACCCTTGTCTCCATCTGATACAGTCACCAGGTCCTGTCTAGTCTTCCTTTCTAACAGCTGTCCCTCGTTACTATTCATTCTTACTACTGCTCCGCTAGTCTGAGCCTTTAGCGACTCAGCCAGAGTCAATGTAAAAGCTTCTTGATTGACATCCTGGCCTCTAATCTCTCCCTCTCTGAACCATCTGGCCCATCCCTAAGAATCTTAACTAACATAGGGCAAATGGGGTTTGTCCCCTGCTATCGACGTGCATAGGAGCAGTGAGCTTCCTTTTTAGGGTAGCTGCCATCTTTACACCTCATCTTGTAGTCCTTTGTTGCTACTTGCTGCTGTGAGGCGCCATTGCCCCTGGGCCACATGCCCCTCCCTCCAGTCCCAATCCTGAGGAAATGACTTTCTAGGGGATGAGTTGCTCCCACTCCAGGCTTTCCTGGCATCTGTGGTCAGACTGTCCTTTCCAACCCACTCCCTCCCACCTCTATGCCTCTGCCCCAGCTGTTTTTCCTTTAGGGGAATGCTAAGTAGGAACCAGACTATGGAGGGCTTTAATTCTAGGCAGAATAACCTCTATATTATTTTAGAGGCAATAGAGAGCCAGAGAAGATTCTTGAGCAGAGGAATAAAAAACTCTGCTTGTTTCATGCACCTGAACTCAGCTACATCTTGTCTTTCTCAGGGAAGGATTCTGTAAGTTTGAGTTTCTCAGTTGTAAAACTGAAAGAGAAGGGTTAACGCTGGAGAACCCATCGATAAAATGCTGTTGGAAATAGCTGTCTCAGAAGCAAGGGAACTGCCTAGCATATTAAAGCTAAAAATCAAACCAGCAGTAATAATTACTCACATAAAAATGTTCATTTTATTTCCCCCTCAGCGTCTGCCTCTTACTGTTTCCCAGCTCTTTGGCCAGAAGGAAGAAATGTTCAGTGATGTGTGATCTCCAGGAAGTGGGTGCTCCTTGCACCAACACAGGTCAGGACCCATCCAAACCTTGCCAACCCCAGGCCATTGCCACCCATGTCCTCCTATAAATCCTCACTCCTGGGGAACCTTCCTCCACCTTTGTCCTGGATGCCTCTCATGTCTTCAGTGCTCTCCTTCCGCACCTTGGCCTCAGAATTCCTGGCTCCCTTCACTTCAGTACCTTCTCCTTCATTAGGCCCCTCCTGAGCCCCCACCCCCACCCCAGCTGCTAATGTTTTCCCCCTCAGGGTCACCTTGTATCTACTTCCCTTCAAGGTCACCTTGTATCTACTCCCCTTCAAGACTACTTTCTATCTATTCTGCAAGTGTATCGTAGATACTTATTGATACTGCTGTGGTTGGCCCCATTAGAATGGAAGTCGCTTGAGGGCTCGGACTACTTTCACTTTTCTTTGCATTTTCTGGCACATAGTAAGTGCTTAATAATTTCTCTTTTGTAACATTTCTTTTTTAAAATTTTGAGTTCCAAATTCTCTCCCTCCATCCTCCTCCTGTTAAGAGGGCAAGCAATGCAATATTCATGCTTAATAAATTCTTGCTGATTGATTAACTTGTGATACCAGGAAAGTATATGTTAGGGCAAAGAGTTCTGGATTTAGAATCAAAAGATCTGAGTTCAAATCCCATTCTTCCTCCTTTATTTCCTTTATGACCTTGGGTGAGTCACTTGCGCTTTATCTTCCCTATCTGTAAAATGATGAGGTTGGACTAGATACTCTGCTGTCCCTTCCAGCTCCAGGTCACAGACTCCTTTGATGACCTGTGATCGCATTCCAGCCAGCCATTCAATTGAATTCAGCCCCAAAAGCTTTTATCTGCTGCCCTTCCCTCTCACAGTATGACTGGCTTGCCACTTTTCTTCCATGTCCTATCCTATATTACAATATTTCTTCTATGCCTTTTCTCTCACAATATCACTTTGGAGAGGAAGCTTCTGCAATTACTTGTACCCCACATGGCCCTTTGGGTCATTTGCCATTTGGAGTCTTCTGACATTGTGGCATCCCATGAGTCCCAACCATCTAGCAGCCCTGCGACAATATGAATGTTAAAATGATGGGGTTTTGGGCATTACTCAGTGAGAAACTGAATATGTTATTATACACAAACTGAGTTTAATTGAAGATGTTTTCAGTTCAAGGAGAAAACAATGTTAAAAATAGTTCAGGTTCAGCATTCATGGAATATTGGCATGTTCTGATTAAGTTGCTGAAGTAATTCCATTTTCATTGAATTTCATCCAAATTTCGTTCATTTCAGGCTTTGAGTTGGAAGGGAATGAAGAGGAACAATAGGGAGTACATTCAGTTTGGATCGGGTTTAGATCTCAGCTCTGCTATCTGCTATCTGTGTAACCTTGGGCCAGTCCATTGAACTCGATTAAACAAATACATACAAAATTTTTGCGTAAATCACTATGGTAGGCTCCGGGGATACAAAGTCAACATAAAAAAAAATCTCTGCCCTCAAAAAGCTTATATTTCAATGGGGATGGGGGAGAGGGGATAAATAAATAGGTCTAAGGTATATACAAGGGAATACAAAGTGAGAGATGGAGAGGAAGGAGGAGGAGGAGGAGGAAATGAGAGGGGAGGGGAGGAAAGAAGAGGGAGAGAGAGAGAGAGAGAGAGAGAGAGAGAGAGAGAGAGAGAGAGGGAGAGAGAGAGAGAGAGAGAGAGAGAGCATGCTCAGATAATTTCAGAAGTGGGAAGGGTAAGAAAAGACTCCCTGAAATAAGTCCTACTTAAGCTAAGCTTTGAAGGAGGTGAGAGATTTGATGGGATGGAGGTGAGGTAAGGAGGGATTCTTTTCTTTTTCTCTTTGTTTCTCCAGCCCCTGACTAGTGCTTGGCACAAAGTGGGGTGCTGTGTTGATCCAGCAAAGCTAGCTGTCTTTCTCTTCTCTTGTTTGACCCTCCTCTCATGTGGGAGCCTTTGCCTGGTCAAACTCTCTACTCACCTCTGCTCCACAGAATCTCTCTCTTCCTCGGAGGCCCGACTCAAACATGATCTTCTGCAAGAGGTCTTTTCTGGTCTCCCCACCTCCTGGTGGCCTCCCTCCTTCTCCCTTGGATGTTTGTATTTATTCTCTTTATATATTGAATATACATATTGATTTTCTAGTTTCTCCATTAAAATGTAAGCTCAATGTGAGAAGGGGTTGTTTCTTTCTTTATATTTGTATCCCCAACCTTGACCACAGTTCCTGGCACATAGCAGGCACTCATAAATGTTTTCTTAATTAATAAGTGCTGACTGTGTGAGTGAATTAGCACCTTCTAGACACAGAGAACTACACGCCAAAGGGAACAGAGGGGAAGGGAATATTCCACACAGGGAAAAGTCAGCAGGCCAGGTGGACTGGATTACAGAGAGCATGAAAGGGAACCTGATTAGTGGACTGTGTGGGCTCCACAAGAAGGTGGGCCCCACCAGAGGGGGCATTGCTGGCATCTTTAGAAGCCCCCAAGTTCTTACTCTGTTCCCCTTAACTTTTCAGAAGTTAGAGTACCATAGTCTGGGGGAAGCAGAGGCTCTTGGGAAAGAAAAGGGGAGTTGACTTGACTCTTTATAGGCTTGGATAGGAGTTCTTTGCATGTTCTTTCAGACTAAATAAAAGCCAGTCATATACCTCATGGCTTTTGAGCCCAAGTGCTTATAAAGGAGCTGAGGGCCCTTAGACGAACAGGTACCAAATCCAGATGTGCTCAGGCAAAGCCAGGGGTGGAGACAAAGCCAGTCAGACTCTGGTTTCCAGGGTTGCTCTGGGTGGAGGCATAATCCAGGGAGTGCTTTTACTGAGGGGAAAACCTATATCTGTGAGCCAAGAGCTCTGTGGCTCATGGCCATGGCTTTCATTAGCATCCCTGTGAAACCTTCAGCCTGGATGAGTGTGTCAGGTGAGTGATCTGTCAGTTACCAGCTGAAAGAAGGTACCTGGGTGGGGAAGGTAAGAGGTGAGGAAAGAAGGAATATCTGGCTTGATGGAATTCTGCCCGAGTGGGGTGACTTTGGGAGACTTGGGAGGGATAGATACTAGAAAGCACAAAGCCCCACAGAAAGGAACTGAATTGGGAGAAGGGGGCTCCCAGAAAGGAGCCAGAGGGGGCAGAAGTGGAGGCGGATTTCTCTAATGTCATAAATCTCCCTGGTCTTTTCTCCCCAGGGTTATATCAGCGAGGGATAATGCGATGCTGGTCCAGGCTGAACTGAACCCTCCTCACCTAGTCTAGCTCAGTTCGGGAATACGTTCCTCTGCTGAATCCCTCTCCTTTTCAGATCCAAGTAAGCAGGCTGAACCAATGGTGCCATACTCTGTCAGACCCACCGAAGCCCCAAAGAGCAGCTAATGATAATAATTTCAGTCGTTTTTCAGTTGTGTCTGACTCCTCATGACCTCATTTAGGGTTTTCTTGGCAAAGACACTAAAGCGGTTTGCCATTTCCTTCTTCAGCTCATTTTACAGATAAGGAAACTGAGGAAAAGAGGATTAAGTGACTTGCCCAGGGTCACATAGCTAGTAAGTGTCTGAGGTCGGATTTGAACTCAGGAAGAAGTCTTCCTAACTTCAGGTCTAGTAGTCTATCCACTGCGCCACCTAGCTGCCTTATATAGTAATCGTAACCATGCTCATAATAATATAAAAACAACATGCATTTATATGGTGTCTTAAAGTTTACAAAGCTACCACAATATTATGATGTAGGTAGTAAGGGTTGTTATTCCCATTTTACAGAGCAGGAAACTGAGGCACAGAGAGGACCTGTGACTTCCCTATGGTCACTCAGCCAGTAAGTAGAAGAGCTGGGAACCAAACTCAAGGCAGCGGATTCTCGTCCCTGGGCCACACTGCCTCCCAAATGGAAAAGCTTCCTGCTAGAAATGGGACCACCCTGCAGCCCAGACAGCAAGCCTAGGAAGCTCTTCCTCTTTATCACAGGATGTTCAGAGCATTTAGTGAAATAAACAGAAGTGAGGCTTGCTTCTTGTTCCCTGCAGAGGAAGTCACAGCATTGATGGCAGGTGACGCCGCCACTTCTCTGTCTTAGAGATTTAGCTGCTCCCCTCTCCCAGGACAGACTCTTAGCTTGCTCCGTTTCACTTGTGAAGTCCCCCCCCCCCACACACACCCCTTTTTAATCAGACTGCTTCAATCATTTATTAAACAGAAAAACACGTTTTCCACTTCCATGTCTTTCTTGGTTATGAATCGCCTTCTGTTATCAAATCTAAAGGCAGCTCCCCCTGATTTAACTCTCCAAATTCTCCTCATGACAGTGTGGATTCCAGAGGGCTAATTGTCCCAAGTCAACAGAGGCTATCCCTCCTGCTTGAAGCGCATTCCCTCCCCACCTGTACCCATTAGAATCCTCAGTTTCCTTCAAAGCCCAGCTCAGCGGCCACCTCCTACAGAAGACTTCTGATGACACTCTGGTTAGTTGTCTCTGTCTCTGTGGGTCTCTCTGTGTCTCTCCTTTGTATATACTTACATACATAAATGTTGGCTCCCCTTGTAGAATGTAAAGTCCCTGAGAGTTGAGCCGGGTGCATTTCTGTTTGTGTGGCCCCAGTGCCTAGCACAGTGTCATTGTTTTTGAAGAGGACCAATGGCCTCACAGGGCGATGTCTTGACTTGTGAGTGAATTGGTTTTAAGGGAGACAGGGCTGCGCAAAGTTGTCAGCCTTACTCTTTCTTCTAGAGTCATCAAAGTCCAGTGGCAGGACAAAGTTGAGACAAAAGGCGATGGACTGGGACGCAGGGCATCACCTGAGCGTCTTCAGCATCTGATCAAGCTCTAAACACTCCACAGCTCCTGCTTCAGCCACCATCATGGTCACTGAACAAATTGTTCTCATCTGCCCATTCCATCTTTGGGTAGACATCCCCCTAACTTACCAATGGGTTTCAGACCCCTCAGTTACCTTCACCTTGGTTTAGCCTGTCTGCCAGGACAGTTTTGTGGGGTGTGGGTGTTGTGTATGCTATAGCTTCTTGGAGCCCCAGGCGAGAGTTTGGTGAAAGTGGACACCAAAGGTAGATGAATAGCCATGGAAAGGGCCCTGCAGCCCTCACACCAGAGGTGCTGGTCCTCCCTGAAAACCCACTGAATAAAGTGCTGGCTTATTATTGGTTGATATTAGTTTGTTTATGTTTTGTATTTTCTTATCCATGAGCATGTGATGTCCCCCAGAGCAGTGGATGCTTCTTGGAGGCAGGGGTGGTTTTTTGCGTGGTGTTTGTATCCCCAGTGCCTGGTATTGTTAATACATGTTTCTGGTGAATTGAATCGATTGTCTTTAAAGCAAAGCCTAGCATTTGCAGGGTGCTATTGGATGCATGAATACTTACTTTGGTGTGTGGTGGTTATACAAGTGTGTCTCTAGAGGCAAGCCACTGAGACGAGGCTCTCCTCACCTTCTCCTCTCCACAGCCCCTCCTTAGGGCTGGCAAACCCCCTGGCCAGGGTCTGGGAGGAAAGATCGCTGGGCTTCCTTGCTCATCATCAGGCTTGCCATGGCTTCAGCAGCCAGAGAGGGAGATAACCCATCTGCTTGGTCAGCAGCATGTGGGACAGCAGCAGCAGCATCGAGCTAATTAGATGGAGACAAATTAAAACTATTTCCAGGATCAACAACTGTCCTTATGCCTTTCCCGAGCCACTGCTTGTATGTTTGGCTGGGAATGTGGGGTGCCAGGAGAAGAGGAAGAACCAAAGTCTGCCAGGGACCAGGAGTCTCAAGGATGCCCTTGGCACCGAGGCAGCCATCTGTTCTTTTTAGCTTAAGGGATCAAAGAGATAGTTAAGAAAATGTGAGTAGAAGGAGAGCCAAACAGAAAAGTATGGGCTGGACATGGAAGAGGAAAGGACAATGGAGAAGAGATAGAGGGACAGAGGAGAGCTGAGACAAAGGAGGGAGGAAGAGAAGAATGAAACCAGGGCTGGGAGGAACGACTGAAGTAAGAAAGTAGAAGAGGTGCTTTAAAATAGTCCTCGGAAGGAGAGCAGTGGACGGAGGGGTATTTGGGGAAGGGAGAGTCTTGGAGACATGTAATTGTGGAGTGTCGTAGGAATATAAGGTATTGTTATATTCGAAGTAATAGATGACAAAAGCATAAACTACAGACACAAATGCCACCACGCACCTCTGCAAAGAAAAGAGAAGAGAACAGACTTTTCTCATTTCTCTTTTCTTCATTCCACATCTTCAATTTCCCACAGGGCTTTCTCAGTTCATGATTTTTTTGCACGGGAAATTAATGAACTTAAAATGCAAACTAAAAACAACAGGAAAGGAGTTTACATTCGCATGGAATATTGTAGTTCATGAGACTCTTTTCTCCTAATAGCCCTGGGAGGTGTCTTTGGGGTTATCAAACAACAAGTATTTATTAAGCACCTACTATGTGTAGGCATTGTGCCTAGGCACAACAGATACAAAGAGAAGAAGATAGAGGAGGAGGAGAAGGAGAAGAAGAAAGCAAAGAAAGAAAGACAGGAAGGGAGAGAAAGAAAGAGAAAAAAGGAAAAGAAATGAAGGAAGGAAGAAACTCAAGGAGTTTACATTCTTCAAGGGGAAGACCACATGTGGCCATCTAAGTATGTGCAAAATATCATGCCACGCAAATACAAGATAATTTTTTTGGGGGGGAGGGGAAGCACTCGCTGCTGGGGGTTGAGAAAGGGGTCCCTAGGGAAGGAGGTATCTGAGCTGAGTCATGAATGAAACTAGGGATTCCAAGAAGGGCGGAGGAGATAGGCAGTGAATAAAGAGGTGTAAAGTGGGTCATAGGAAAACAGATTTAGGGCTGGAAGGGGTCTTAAAGGCCATGGAGTCCAAGAGAAAAAGCTCTAAATGAATTCAGAATTAAATAGGGATTAGGGAAAAAGAAAGATTCTGCAACGAATTGAATTTGTTCATTTTATGAATGAGGAAATGAGAAAATGGGAGAGAATATTAATAAATGAATAATTAAAAGCAACACAGCAGGGAAATTGGAGGATAAACGGAGAAACAAGAAGGGGAATGAACGAGGGAACGAGGAAATAGATAAAAGGAGGTACGAAGTAAGTGAGTAAACAAAACAATGAAAAACTGGCTCTAGCATCAAGGCAGGAGGTAGAAACCATGAGAGAAAATTAGTTGGGGACAGAATGAACAAAGGAAACCCCCCTCTCTCTCCCAATACAGTGCAGAAGAGTGAGAGAAAGGAAATTTGGAGGCACTGAAGAAATGAAACAAGACATACGCCCCTTACTCCAAATTTTAATGTAATTCTTTTGTGAGTAGTTCAGTTTCATTTCTCTGTTGCTATTCAAAGTCTATATAAGGTCCAGGAACTATTTAGTGAGGGAGGAAGGGGCTAGAAAACAGAGGCTAGATGACCATTTGGCAAGGGCGTTTATGGTGTGGATTCTTCTTAAAGTATGCATTGACTAGATGGCTGGTTGGTCCCTTCCAGCCAGCAATGCCCTGGACTATTTAACAACCAGCTCTGGGGAGGGGGAATAAAGTGTGTGCAGGCTGACTTTTAAGTTCAATCTAATTATTAACATTTTCTCCATCACTTTCTGAAGTCTAGACAGTTAACAAAATAACACATCAAGCTCTGATTTGGAGTGTCTTTCCCCTATCCAATCCATTCTCTACATAGCCACTAAATTGATATTCATACAACACAGGGTCTTTCCATGTTAGTCCTCTGCTCAAGGACCTTCTGTGGCATCTACTGCCACTCAGGTAAAATACGCATTCCTTTTTTTGGCATTCCAAGTGGTCAGCAATCTGCTTCTGGACTACCTTTACAGGCTCCCTGCACATTACTGCCCACCCCACAACCCCAGCCAGGCTTGCAATGTCCCAGGCAAAGTGGCCAACTTCTGTTCCCTGTGCACAACATTCCATTTCTCACTTCTTGGTCTTTGCACAACTGTCTTCCGTGCCTGGAATGCTCTACCTGGTCATCTCTGCTTTTTGGAATCCCTAAATCTCTTCATGGCTCAGCTCAGGTGCCACAACTCCCAGGGAGCCTTTCATTAAACTACTTCGTTCTTATTTAGCTATGTATATATTCAATCCCCGCCCCCCCCAGTAGAATGTAAGCTCCCTAAGGGCAAATACTATTTCCATGTTTTGTTTGTATCTTTATCGAGATGCTTAATAAATATTTCTTTAATTGAATCTGTGATTTTAACTCACTATCAAGGGAGCCAGGAAATTCCTTAATCTATTGGACAGGACTTGGGAGGCAGGATAGCAGAATGGCTAGAGAGCTGGTCTTGAAGCAAGGAGGACCTGGATTCTAGACTTTCCTCTGACACAAACTGAGTGTGCGTTGTGACTACAGGTGACTACAGGTTGAAGAGAAGCTCCAAACCTACATTGGTAGAGTTTCCTTATCTCAGAGTTCTTTGTATCAATGAAACCACAGCTTCAGTCCCTCTCATCAGAAGGGAAGACAGAAGACATTAATAATAATCTCTCCTTTGAAGAGAAATCATTTGTCATATACATCTCAGGTACTGTGTTCATTTCTGGGTACCGTATTTTTGGAAGGACTTTGAAAAGCGTCCCAAGGAAAGAAGTCAGGGTAGAAGGGACTGGAGTCTGAGTCATGCATGGGTAGGATGAAGAAACTGGGGACAATGAGCTTGGAGAATGGAAGACTGGGGCAGGGGTGGGCCGGGAGCATGAGAGTAATTTTCCGGCATTTGTGGAGGAGGTATTGAATTTGTTCTGTCTGGTCCCAGAGGGCAGAACTCTGGGCGGAAATTATGCTTGATTCACAGAAAAACGCTCTAGTAATTGGTGCTGTCTCAAAGTGAAGGGAGTTGCTTTAAGAAGCACTGAGCAGCCCTGATGGGAGGTTTTCAACCAGGAACTAGATAATCACTTGTGAGGATCTCTAAGGGGTTACCTGCTGAGGTATGAGTTGGTCTGGCTGAGTTTCCTTCCACCCATGAAATTCAGTGATATTCCCTGAATTAAAAGCCAATACTATTGACCAACCAGGAACAGTTATTTCCTGGCTTGGTGTTGATTCGTTGACACTTTTACCCAAGCCTCCCAGGCATGGCTGGTGGGTGCATTTTAACTGGCTCCATTACATCATGAATTTTCATGTCTTTCCAAGATGGTTGGATAAGGTTAAAGGTGCAATCTGTGACCACAAAACAAAGCAATGATAACTCTTGTCTCACAGGGACAAAAACTCATGACCTTGACCTCATTAGCAATGTATTCCTTCCCAATCCGGTTGAGCTGACCAGGTTAACAAGCAACATAAGATTCAGTATTGTTAACACGAACCTTCTGCTGACCTCAGACTTCAAGGACACCTGGGAACAAAGCATCTTGAAGATGGATGGTTTTAAAATACAAACTTGTGACATCAGAATCATCTTTGTCATCGCAAAGCATTTATCAGGGGCCTAATTGTTTACGAAGAAACTCAGGCCAGCAAAGAGGTGAAAAGCTAAGTTGTCTCTGTCAAAGAAGGGAAAAAAGATAGTGTTATATAATGGAAATAATACTGGATTTTGAATCAAAGGATGTGGGTTCAAATTCTAACCCTGCTCCTGCCTCTGTCTACATACTTACTCATGCAGGTCAATAAGGATCAGTCATTTCACTTCTCTGGAACTGTTTCCTCATTTGTAAAAAGGAAGGGTCTGGACTGGATGAACTCTAAGGTCCTGTCTAGTGCTAAATCACTTGAAACAATGAGAACTAGAAATGTGCAAACAATAGCGATCCAGGGAGAAGTGTCTGCGATGGTAATGACAGGTACAGCACCGACCAGTGGAGGAAGACACAGAAATAGGGCTTATGTAATTGTCATTCTGGCTCTGTGTGTGTGTGTGTGTGTGTGTGTGTGTGTGTGCACGCATGTGTATGTATGTGTGTGCGTGTGTGCGTGTGTGTGTGCACAGATTTGAAGCTGCTGATTAACTGAATAACCAGTGAACGCAAGGAACAGAGAGTGTCAAATACAATAAAAAGTAAGTATATTCTATGGAATCACAGTTTCAGCCTGAGAATTGGTAAGAACCTCCTAAGCCAGCTAGTACTTTCCTCTTTAACATCCCTGTCAAGTGGTCATCTATAGGA